CGGTTAACCACACACAGAGAACAAACACAGCTGCTGAAACAATCAAACTACTGCAGCCTAAAGGCCCTCCAGAAGAAATACTTCTCAGTTTGTAGGAGTTAGACCCACAACAACGGCTTTTTTCTGCCTACAAAGTAACATTTAAAGATAGAAACACACAAAGTGGGACGTATCGGCCAATTAAACAACTGCTTTTTGAATTAATTCAGTTTCTGAACTCAAGAAAGAGTCTTCCTTCGACTTCTAATACAATTTTGAACACAAACTTCAGCCCTGTGTTTATTTCCTTTAATTTTTTCCACTCTATAACCAACTTGGTGTGTTTAACCATAAGATCAAGTTAGTTTAGTCCAATATATCTTAAAAACACAACCTTTTATATGGGAATAAATAAGGAACAAATATATACATTAAGAATTCCTGCTTCACTATATGATCCATAAACTTATCCTAATTTCACAAAACATTTAAAATGCAAAGTCACATCCAGTAACATAAAGTTAAGATCAAATGTCAAACTAATTGATATCAGCTAAGCTAGCTGATATCAATTAATGTGCTTTTACGGACGATTCCCAAAACGAGTAAACGGGAAAAAAAAAAAGAGTGAAAACAATTGATTTATTTTCTTAAAAAAGGATTTTTGGGGCAGGAAGGTAGCGTGAAAAACACAAAAACACATCCGATCTTTTTCTGTTCAGTCTAGACTTCTTAACATGTTTTCTTTAACATGTAAAACTGTGTTAGACTATTATTATTATTATTATTACTATTATTAGTCTACATATACCGAATTAATATCATATAAATCAGAGCAGCTGAAAACTGTCTGGAGTTTCTCTGGAAACATAAACTATGGAGGCTTGGGGCTACTGAGGCAAACAGATCAAGCCCTGACAAAAACCTGCACCCGGATAGTTATAAAACAGATATGCAAACGACTAAAGGCTGTTCGACAGGCTGCAGTCTGCAGGAGCCTCGGTCGGATATCCAACTCCTCCCACATATCCAAGTCGGCCATTTTGATTAGGTCATGTGACTAGCAGCTTTCTGAGGTGGAAACGAAACTTTACTGTCTATACGAAATCGGAAGACAAACGATGTCCTAACCCTATACCTAACCCTAACCTTGACCCTAACCCTGACCCTAACCCTAATCCTGAACCTAACCCTGACCCTAACCCTAAACCTAAACCTAACCCTGACCCTAACCCTAACCCTAACCCTAACCCTGACCCTAAACCTAACCCTAATCCTAATACTAATCCTAACCGTGATCCTAACCCTAAAACTAACCCTAAACCTAACCCTAAACCTAACCCTGACCCTAACCCTAACCTTAACCCTCCACCCTTCATAGTTGTGAGAAATACATATTTTTTTGGTTAAACTTGTTTGGACTTATTGTACAAACCTATTTAACATCCACTATT